GCCCACCCCGGGGCCCCACCCCAGGCCTGAGAGCTCCTCCTGGGATGGGGAGAAGTTATGAGAGGAGCAGATGTGGGGTTGACTAGGAGCTCCCCACTTTTCTATTGAGAAAAAAACACAGATGGGGGAAGAGGTGATAGACAGCTGACAGCTAAGCTGAGGAGCGCCCAGGATTGGGGGGGGTAGGGGGCAGGGGCTGTTGGGTGAATAAAACAGACAGCCCCTCTCTAGCAACCCTGGCCTTGAACCAGGGGCTAAAGAGGGGAAGGGGAGCTTTGCCTCCTTTTGCGAAGGTTTCCTTCCCAACTGAGCTGAGAAGCGGCTGGACATTAAAATCTAGCTGAGAATAAAATGTAGGAGTTTGGGGGAATGCTGTGGGGAGGCAAGACCCTGGGCTTGGGGCTCCCCCTCTATCTTTTGGGGGGAAAACTCCTCTTTGGCAGGAAGAAGGGCAGCTGCTTTGTCTGGTTCCCAAAGCCCAAGGGTGAAGAAAGGTCTGTTGGGGCAGAAGAGGGTAGAGGCTTCCTAAAGGGACTGAGACCCTTACAGGTTTGGCAGGGGAGGTGGGGATAAGCAGCTTGGGGGAGAGGTTGGAACCCCAGCTTTTTCCTTTGCTGTCAGTCTGCTTCCCAGCCTTATTAAAATGGATTTGGAGAGGAGGGGATGGGAGGGGGTTATATGAAGTTGGGAGGGAGGCACTGGTGGAACTTAAATAAGTTTGTAATTGTTTTTTTAAAAATTCTACAAGTAGCCCACTGCACATGTCACTAAAATCTCTCCTTCCCAGGCAAGATTGCTTTGAAGGGAAAGTTGGCCATTTTTTATTCTCCCTTAGCAAGTTTGCTGGTGGTTTGGTGTGGGAGATGGGGAGGGAAGGGGGCTGGAGTTAAGTTTGGGCCCCTCTTTCCACACCCTGTCCCTGGATACACTAGCAAGACCTGGTCTGACTAGAACTGAGAAACTAGTTTAAAACAGGCAGAAGTGGACTGGGGTGGAGGAAGGCAAAAGCATTAGGGAGGACAGGAGGGTGAAGGAGGTGAGGGGGAGCAGCTGGTGTTACTGTCCCTCTGAATATCTGGGCTTCCTGCTCCCCTACCCTGGAGGGTGGGGTGGAGGTGAAATTTGATGTAAGGAACTCTGGGGCCCTCTGGCTGTTCAATCCAACCCTCCCA